ATCATTATTTACTGCATACTGATAATGATCTTATCATTATATTTTAGATGATTTGATTTGAACAAAAATTAAACAAAAAACATATTGGAGTCGGTGAATAAATATGTATTTTTTATATTTAACTGTTTATGAAATCATTTTTTCATGACATTATTATTAATTGCATACATTATATTTATATCTTATAATATTTAATATTTATTAAATCACATTGTTTTTTTTATTACATACTATCTTGTTATATTTTCAGATGATCCAATACATCAAGCCTCAATTAAAGAGTTGGCAGATAAATATGAGGAGAAGACTACAATCTTATATTTGATTATTAATTGTTTCACACATTCATACTATAACATGAAGTCGAAATGATCAAAATTATGCCATATCACATGAGAACCAGTGATCCAACTTTAATGAAACACGGCTTATTCGAATAGTCTCATAAAGACAATTCGAATAATGGTGTTTTAATGTTCATAGCATCAATAAATGATGAGATATATAGTAAACAAAAATATCTCACTAATAAGTGATCTAAATTTTATAAATTAGACACCTCATTGAGAGAATTTGAATGATAGTTGTTTTATCTAAAACAGCCAGATATTGACCGAGTTATGGCAGTTTAAAGTTTTTCAACCATTTCGACTTTTAATTTCAACTTTTGACCGCTTTAATTTTTATTTGTATTTTATTAAAAAAATAAAAATTTTTATTTTTATAATTTTCAATAACTAAAAAAATACGTTTTACCATTAAACAAAATACGTTTTATTCAGTATTATTCCCGTATTAGTATTAGTATTAGTAACTTTTGATACTAATATTAATACAAAATTTGCATATTACAATACTTTCCGTACCAATAATAGTAATACTGATACTAATACGTGTTGTTTATTATCTAAAATTCCGTATTTTCCATACTAATACTAATACGGTTTATTCCGTATCTTTTCCGTGTTTTATTTTTTTTATAGTAATAGGCCCTTGACAGAGTTAATTTTGCAGTTTACTTTCCTACAATTGCGTCTTGTGTGTGCCCTTTAGAAAAGGAAATCTTATGACTAAGTGAATAAATAGTAATAGCTAACATATGGATAACAACAACATATTAATATTCTGTACGACATTATAACGTTTGTATACATTAATATTAGTTAGTAATAATAAACCGTGACGATCAGTTCAGATCCCTGGAAAAAAACATTCAATGATAGTAATAGTAGTAATAAAAAGCTTGGTGTACAAAGAAGTTAACATGTAATTTATTAAATGCATCCTTTTTACAAATTAAATTGTTGTATTCCTTTATTATTATTATTATTATAATTATTAAATCAATGATTGGGCATGTGTCTATTCCATTTTTGCAAGAATGAAAATCAACAACGACGAAATATTAATAATAATAAACAAATATAAAATACTTTTTCAAGAAAATATTTAAATACAATTAAAAATTCATTTCCAGGAAAATTATTTTCTTTCCTTTTTATATATAAAAAAATTTTTTTTAATTAAAAATTAAAAATACCATTCCTCTCATTTAATAATCATCAATCAATTAAAGAAGAAACCATGAAATTAATAAAATGCTTTACATTTAATTTATTACTTATTGTTATAACTTTAACATCAGCTCAATCACAATTTTCGAAAATTTCTGATGCATGTACCCAGGTATTAACACCACTGATAAGTAACAAAGAACTTAATGCTTGTATACCACTTGCATCGTTAGCACCCTCTGGTAAAAATGATACCTATGGCACATTAGTTAAAGGAGCTGATAAACTGTGTGCTGCTGATAAATGTTCTGACAATTTAATCACAACCATTCAGAACAACATTGAAAAAGGATGTACAACTGACTTGACAAACCAAGTTCCAGAAGTATTGGCAATTGATTTTCTCTTCACCTATTATTCACCAATTAGAGATTCAGCATGTCTCAAAAATTCAACTAATGGATATTGTTTTATTGAAACTATTGATAAGTTAAAAAATTATGAGAAAAATATTACTAATGTCAATTCATTTGATTCAGCATTGGATAGTTTTAACCAGCTGCCAACAGATGTTGTTTGTACAACTTGCAATAAAGCAATTGCAAACACTTTTTTCAATTATCAAGATGCTAATCCTGATAGGACTAAACGATTTGCCACTCCAGTAGCTAGCGTTAAATCCATTTTGGGAAATAAATGTGGTGCAGACTTTACAAGTAAGTGATCTTTTGGAGGAAGACAAATGAGGAGTGAGAGTTAATTTTATAATAATCTCTAATCTAATCATTATTATTATTTTTTTAGATGGAAAAGTTCCAAAGACAAGTTCATCAAATATTATTAAATTAGATTTTGCATTATTATTATTCATCAATTCATCAGCTTTGATTTTATTATTTTCTAAAATATTTTAAATAGATTTAATTTATTTAATTGTTCCAATATATAAATATATAATAAACATTGTTAATCAAGATGAGTACTAAATAAATTCTGGTGAGAGAGAAGGATATTCTTGAGACTTAGCTCCTTGGAAAAACCATCCAATAATAGTTGTGAGTGACGTGAGATATTTATCATTCTTAAACATAACATGAATTTATGAATTTATCTATATTAAATGGATGTCACGCATTAGTTTCATGATTAATATTTACTAATACTGAAAAAAAAAAGGAAACCGGAAATTCCGTCCCTGCTTAGAACTGTTGTTCATAAGAAATTTGCCTGGAAGAAAATATCCGAACCACGTTTTTAACTAATAAAAAAAAATTAAAAATATTATCATCATGTAGCTTATGTTCTAACTAATATGTATGTAAAAACCTCACATTTCTATTATTTATAATAATTTTCAAACCAAAGGAAAACAAACTTCAATTAAATTTGTTCTAAGAAAACTTTGTGCTTTTATCATTGGTAGAAAATTTGTTATTAAAAACAAAAAAAAAATGCCAAAAAAATTCGGAATAGCTGAACATGGAAAACCTTTGGGTCATAAATTAGGTGGCAGCATTCTTAATAAAATTGTAAAGATGCTTAAACTTCCAAAAATCACAGTTTATGATATCATTAGACATTATAAAAATGCCGAAAACTTAAAGTGGTCATCCCAATGCGTTAAATGTTAGTGAACAAAAAACTTTAAAAAAAATCGCACTAAAAACAATTGCAATTCTGCGGAAGAGATTCAAAGAAAATTTATTGGATTCAATGGTGTTGAAGTGTCAGTTAAAACAATTCGTAAAATTTGGTTTTTAGATGATTAATCGAAGTTCGTTTTTCTTTAGTTGAAAAATTAATATATTTAGCAGAAACGTGAAAATTTTACATGCATACACATTCATGAGAACATAATAATAAGTTACATGAAAATTTGCGGGATTAATAAAAGACGTAAACATTATCTTATCTCCAATAATTAATATTAGACAAGATTTAGTACTTTCTTCTATGACATTCCTTAGCAAACAAAAATTGACAAATAATAAAATAAACAGGCTACAGTTCACTCTCTCTATAACGAACACTAAGTAAAATCTATATAACGAACTTCCCTTTTTGTCCCTGATTCTTTTTTTTTTTTAATTAATTTCTCCCTCCATAACGGACATCTTAGTAAACACACTTTATAATGAAAAAAGGCACATATATGGGTGGAAGGTTCATTGTAGAGAGAATGAACTGTATATTTTCACAAAATACCAAGTAAAATTACAGGAAACTCTCACGTTTTTGTTTAAAGTAAAAAGAAAATTATGATATAACTTCCACAAAGAATAGGTATATAGAACAAATAGTATATATAGAGTAGATGGAGACATATTGTTATCTTGTTATTTGACTTCTACTACCATCCTCAACTCATCTCATACTTCACTGATATTAGAGTTTTCAGTAGGACATCCATGCAACATCCTACAATAAAAAGTGAAATAAATGTATTAATATTTCAATTTAACAATGGAAGCATGTAATTTTACAAAAAAAATAGCATCTAACACTTAAATATACACATTACAAATGCTTATTATTATTGCTAATACATATTGATGTACAGATCATACAGATCATAGGTGGTGAGTTTTGTTGTTCTTTTTAGTTTAATTGGATATTTAAGAATAATAAAAATGCATATAACTAGTAATATGCTTGACAAATATCATCCATCTTCTAATGGTCTGGACCTTATCTTTAAGCAAGATATTTAAAAAAGTTATTTATCAAAGTTTAATTAAATAAATATCAAACCTGTTGTTTCAAATTATTTTTCTTGTTTTTACACTAAACATTATAAAATTTTGTTTTAGTCATCATCATCCACCTTTATATCTAATAATAATTCGGATCTTCTGGTGTTTTTAAAACTCTCAGTTAAGGTTTCTGGTCCAAACTGTTTTCTCAAAGCCCAAACTAGTTTGGGCAATTTGGGCTTCTCAATATTTTTTTAAACATGAACATTAAAAAACTATACCAATCAACTTATTTTAACTAAAGTAATTTCGCCCAATTTCGGCTAATAACAAAAAATAGTTTGAGCTTATAAAAAAAGTAATTTTTGCCCAAAGTGTTTTGGCAATTTCGGCTACTAATTGAGAGAGTTTCGGCCGGAAACCTTACTCTCAATTGAAGAGCAGCACCTTTATCTATAAGTAAAATCATTATTTCAAACTATCTTATATATGAAATTAATAAATATGTGTATTTATATATTTATTATAGTTTGTATTATAAATTGTTTTATATGTAAATATATTATAGGGAATATGTACAAATGCATGGTTTTATCAATTTTACAAAATATTCATCAATAAAATATCTAGATAAAAAAAACTAAAGATATATTAGCTATTATTAAAATGTTATTATTATAATTATTAATCTAAATAATATAAATCTATATATAATATTTTGTAAAATGTATCATCAAACTAATTAATGTTAATATTATTCTAATGGTTATTGTTGCTATTATTCTTCTTGTACCTATTCTTGTTGGTTGAATGCAATTTTATTGTTTTCAAAGAATTCTCTTAGGTTTGAACCACTACCACCTGTTATAAGTTCGAGATCTCTTGTTACTTGTAATTTACGAGAAATTCCCAAATAACCTTGCAAACCCCATAATTCCAACAAATAAGCAGCTAGTTTGTCATCAGCAGTCAAGTCCATTAATACTTGCCTTAATTGATTGACAGGCATCAATTTTATCTTAATATCGCAACCGAGACCTAATGATGCTTTTGATCCAATTTCATCAATAGTAAGTAAGTTTGGGCCAGTTATTTTGTATTCCTTCCCTCCATGCCTTTGTGGAGGACAGTAAAGTATGTGACAGCATGATCTAGCAACATCATTGATATCACAACATTCAAAAGTCATTTGTGGATTGTCTATCAGTGGGATTGTTGATTGTTCAATAATATATTTGGCAAAGTATAATAAATGTTGATGCAATACACCAGGATATCTTAATATTGTGATTTGTGATGGTTGAAAAGTTTCCTTGAGCAAAGATTCAATAGATTCAAATTGACTTCTATAAGATCTATTCTTATTATTAATTATTTCATTGTCATTATTATTCTCTTCAGTAGGTGTAAGTGGCGGTGAGTATGGTGTATCCAATTTGGTGAACGGTGTTGGAAATACAATATGTTCAACATTTGCTTCTTTTGCAGCATTTATATAGCTAAAATAATAATAATTGTTTGATTATTATGCTATTATTTGAAAATAAAAGAATTTCTATCCCCCAAAAAATTTATATTTACCCTTTTGCAAATGTAAATGCATCATTACGAGTGATTTCACCACCAAGTGGATCAACCAACAATAATAACTTGGACACATTATTTAAAGCATGTATTACGGTTTCTGGTTTATTTATTGGATCAATCTCTACTGCAATAGTACCTTCCTTCTCTAATATAGTAGAAGATTGAATTGTTTGATGACTTACCCCAGCATATACTGGTATTTTTTGTAAATGTAGGTGAAGATTTTGCATTTCTACAAGACTATCTATTATAAAAGAACCTAATAAATAATTTATAATTTATTGTTAATAAAACTATTATTGCGAGAGTGCTATAATTAATTTTATATAAAACTAACCAATTCGACTATCTGCTCCTGTAATGTAAATTGCATTCTTGAACTGCATTTTCTAAAATATTTTATTACTATTGTTATTTATTTTCAAGAAGAATTTTTTTGATTGGTTGTATCAATCAACAAAAATATTATAGCATGTCATATATTTTTTTAATACACGTTTTTTTTTACGTCATTTAAATTGCTTTATATAAATTTGATAATATATTTTAAGATAACATTGTAAAAAATCATTTGATCTTATCTTATATCATTATCAATCATTAATTTGTGTTCACCGAAATCGATCAATGAATTGAATTATTTTTTTTATTGTGACTTTGCAGCATTTATTTATGAATGAAAAATATTATTTATGTTAAACCGAGTAATCCCACCCCCTGAAGTTCTATTTCATTAGCTATTACTCAAAAAATAAATAAATGATAAGGTAAAGAAATGTGCACAAGTATCAACTTTTGTTGCTGTTTCATTTACAATGACTCTCTATTTACAACAGACTTTATATAAGTGAAGTCACACAATAATCAACTTAATAAACTCTCTTTAGCAAACGGAGGCACAGAAATATGAGGTTTGTTATAGAGAGAATGAACTGTATAATCAATCATACTTTTTGAACATTAAAAATGTTTGACAAATATTATCATACAAACATGTAAGGTTAGAAGCCTTCATTGGACCTAATTATCGATAACCAGTGAATGTCATTCGGTAGATACAACCACTATATTTGGGGCATGATTCTTCATTTTTTTATTAAGCAAACAGGGTTCACCAGTTAGTTAATCTAGATGTTATAGGATAGTATGGGACCCTGCAAACTTCATAGATAGGTTACCGCCACAACTAGGTCAAATTCATATATAAATTAAAATTTTTTGTGCAGATCATCTATAATCATTAATTGCTTATAGTAACAATTGGTCAACTTCAAAATACTAAAACAAAAAAAATTAT